GGAGCCATAATCCCAACAAATGACCAATTCCCCAACAGATGAATGCATCACCCAAGCAACACCGAAGACCGTGAATGCCAAATCCCATAATTCTTGCGCCACTGGTAATGGAGAATAAGATTATTCACTTTCACTAACCCTCTTGCACATGCAGCATCAATCAACAACCATTTTTTGTCTCTTCCTTAGATTATCAGCCATCAAAATAGCCTCATAAGCCATTGTCCACACAGAAAGAAACCTTAGGTGAGACCCTATTTCCATATACCTCTCCAAGGAGAGAAGAAGCCTCCCCCCTCTAACAAATCTTGATAAATAGTGGATTCCACTATTTATCAAGGCCCTTTATAAATAGTGGATTCCACTTCACAACTCTGCTGGAAACCATCATATTCTCTTCCACTAAAGCATTCCTATTCATTGCCAAGGCAAAACAAATCTGGGAATGCCTCCACTATAAATCTATGCCCACACCATGCATAAAACCATAGTCTTACTCTACTTCCATCCCCCACCTTAAATAAGATCCTTTTAGCAAATTCATCCTGAACTCTCATCATGATATTTTTCCATAACCCACCCCATATGGCCCCACAACCTGCCAGTGCTCCAATTATCCCCATGTACTCCTTTTTTGGGAAAAGCAATATGACATTTTATTAGATTAATGAGAGAAGCACAAAGATAAAAATAAAAAAAAAAAGGAACAAATCATATCCCATAATCCACCATCTACACACTTATCCTCAAAACCCTTACATTCTTTTCCAACCAAATGACCCAAACATAGCACAAAATACACATTTCCAAAGCACTCAAGCCTTTTTAATGGATCCAAAACCCCTATAGCCAATCATGGTCAATTGGCCCCTATCCAAAAAAATTTAGAACACCATTCACCGATAAAAAAATCTTACATCCAACTACACAAGATACCTCCTAGCATTTGATTCCTAAACCTACAGTTCGCCATCTCATTGCCCACCAATACAACCTATAAAATTTGTTGACCTCCCACAATGACATTCTAACTCTATAATATCACCCCCTCCCTCCCATCACCCTTTTAACCTCAAAGCTAAAACTTTGGAGATGATCTTGTTAATGCAACTAACAAGGCTATCTAGAATCTTTTAGTTCAAACATCTTTTTTTTTGTTTTTAATAAATAAAATAAATTTCATTGAAAAATCATTAAGACGATGCAAAGAATACATCTGCCCAAACATCGAGCAGAGATTAAAAACTCCTAACCAATAACATCATCCAAAAAATCTAAAAAAACAAATAAATCCGGATCCACCCGTCTCTCCAACCAACTATACAAAGTAACTAACAATCAATTGTCAAGACATGGAACCCAGTGATATATCTCTTGAAAAGTACACCGATTCCTCTCCAGCCAAGCCAACCACATCAAACAAAAGGGCACCACCAACCAAACCCATCGGCGTCTGACCTCAAACAACTTATCTATTTTACCATGACATTTTCAATTGGGGTGCCGTAGATTTTATACAAAAATTTTTAAAAAGAAGAAAATAAATAAATAAATAAAAAATAACAAATAGAATTAATGCATTGGGAACTAGATATGAGAAAATGGTCATAATCAGTGCATGAGGCTCCCACTTACAGCAAGGTCTAGTAGTAGATATGTAGGGCTCCCACTAGAGCAAATTCTAGTAGTAGATAAGCAGGGCTCCCACTTATAGCAAGGCCTAGAAGATGTAGTAAATAAGTGGGATAGCCTTACCCCAATTTTTTAGTGGAGATGATGATTCCCATTACTTGAACCTCCACACCACAACATTGGGGTGGATAGCACTTGCCATCGAGCCAAGTAACAACCTCATAAATGAGAAGTAAAATAAAATATAACTAAATAAAAATTAAGAAAGGACTAACCAATATCATCTTGCCATTTGCAACAAACATTAATGACTTTGGCAGTAAGAAATTATAAATGCTTCACAACAAGAAGTTTCAACAAGCTCAGTTTCAACAAGCTCATGAATTAAAGATGGTTTCAAAAGACCTAACCGATTACAAGCAAGAAGTAATCTTGCCCAATATTAAGCAGTGTATAGAATGGCACTCAAGCACCAATCAAAAGAATTTGGAGAGTGCTTAACTTGTTTGGCTTATTTTTCTTACGAATGAAAATCTCCTAAATGCGAAAGTGCCAGCAAGGATTAAAAAATCCTTACAAATAAAATTTAAGCCAATAATCAAGCGAATGTGCAAGGTTCTTCTTGCCTTAATGCAGAGGGCTTCCAAATTTGCCAAACGTAGACAAAATAAATGGAAAAAGAAGAACAGAAAGAGATGGAAAAAAGTGCTTAAGTGAACAATCAAAGTAAGCATTAAATTACTTCTACTCCTATTGCTTTGAAACAAAAGTGTGGTAAGGGAAATGCGGAAAATAAATCTAAGATAAAAATAAATAAATGACAAGAAAGAATAATCAAATTTTCTTTGATTTGTGTTGGAGAGTTTACAATGTAGCTACATGAGGCTATTTATAGGAAAAAAAATTGTAGGAAAAAACCACCTATCAAAGGTTGTTAAAATCAGGATCTTACGTTGGATTGTTGGAGGTGTTTACAGGATCAGATCGTAGAATCGGATCAAGTATTACAAGATCCTACCGGAATAGACAAATTACATAATAATTTAATTTAAATAAACATTTCTTAAAAAATATACACAAAATAAGTCTATATTTCTACTAAAAAGAAGCGAAGATATTGTGAAAAATATAATACTCCATGTAAAATGTAAATATAATATTATACAATAGAAAGCTCGATGGTAAAAGTTTTGCATTTCATCAAAAAAGAAGGTGAAAAATTCTATAACATAATACTTTACAATATATAATAATGCATAAAAAATGAAGAAAAAATATTTAATAAAATTAGATATGAAAATAAATTAAGAACTCAAAAGAGCGGCTTAACCGACCGATAAGGTTTGTCGTTAGCATCCCTAATGGATCGGGTTCAAGTCACAAAAATAGTCTCCAAAAATTGGGATAAAGTTCCAATCTATGAAGTACGGACACGGACACGTGACACGTAAATTTTCAAAAAATGGGGGACACGAAATGTCGGGAACACGTTCAATATAAATAATTAAATTTATTTATTACTTGTCATAAAATTATGAAAAAGTCATTAAACAGTAAAATTAATAAAAACATATCATTAAAATTAACAAAACTAATCACTTATTAGTAATCAGAAAAATAAATAAATAAAATTGGGAAAAAAAATAAAAGTGAGAGAGAGAAATCAACTGTATAAAAGAAAAAACAAAATAAGATAAAATGTGAAGCTCAGCAGAAGAGAGAGAGAGTGACTGAGAGAGACAGAGAGAGAGAGAGCGATTGAGAGAGATGAAGAGAAGATCGGAGAAGGAGAAGAAGAAGAAGATCGAAGAAGAAGATCACAGAAATAGATGGAAGTCGTACCTTGGACCACCGACGACAGACCATCGACCAGCGAAAAGCTACCAAGTGCGCCGGCGAGCCTCTCTCTCTCTCTCTCTCTCTCTTCTGTTCTCTCTGTTCTTTCGAATCTAGGGTTTAACAATTTGTTCTGATTTTGTTATTTACAAATTGACCCCACAATAGTTTCATAAATTATGAATTTTACCCCGTCATGTCCCAAACGTGTCCCCGAACGTGTCCGGCGACAAAAAATTCAAAAAAAAAAAAGGGAACACCTTTCACTGCGTGTCGAACAAGTGTCCACCGCATGTCTGACACGTGTTCGTGTCCGACACTGATACATAACCCTCGGAGAGGTGTCCGTGCTTCATAGGTTGCAATCATCTTGCCCTCAAACCCCGCTAAAGCTAAGTTTGTTTTTCCCAGTAGTTAGTTTTGTTAAATTACCACAATATTTAAATGTTTGTTTCTTATTTTGTTTTTCTTAGTCTATTTAATTCAATACTACTGAGCGTTTTTTATTCATTTTGACCATATAAATTGATATTTAGACAACAAATATAAAATTTACAGTAAAATAGGTCATACAATACAAAACAAGACTTACAAATTAGATCAAATAGAATTGGATTTGGATTAGGATTCCACGATCCTATAAGATCCAATTACCAAGATCAAGAGATCTTACCTATAAGGGATTTTTTTACATGACGTGGATCAATTGTGCCTAAATGGATCGTAGAATCCAGATCAGGATTCTGATAACCATTATTAACAACCCTTTTCCCCCATCTTCATTATTGTCTTGCCATGTATCCCTCCATCCATGTCCTCCAATTCCTCCACTTTATGCTCTATATTCTCCACTGTCTCCGTCACATTTTTTCACATGTGCTCTATGTTGTCACATGTGCTTCATATAACTTCTTCTAAATTCTGGATGAATCAAGAGAGTGCCATGTGTCCTCTCATAAGTATTATTATTTATTTATGGTGCCAACATAACTAGATGGTTGTTATTAGTTTGTAGTAATAAATTATATAACTTCTTCTAAATTCTGGATGAATCAATAGAGTGCCATGTGTCCTCTCATAAGTATTATTATTTATTTATGGTGCCAACATAACTAGATGGTTGTTATAAGTTTGAAGTAATAAATTTTACTAATTGTAAGGTTAAGCAAGTAGAATCTTATGATCATTGGATTATAATTTCCTCCACCTCCAGCACTGTATATGGAATGTAATATAGATCGAACACATAGCTAGCTCAAGCATACCAATTAATCAGTTCCATAGTATAGTATTGCCTCAAATGTTTTGGTGTTGTCAATCAGTAAGTACTAATCACCACAATTTATTAGTTTAAAACTGGTGCATAGAAAAAAAAAATTTAAAAAAAAAAAAAAAAGCAAAAGCAAAGAGTTTGAGTTTTTTTTTTTTTTTTTAATATATATATATTATTATATTTTTTTTTTTTTTTTTTTGTTTTTGCGGGCGGGGAACAACCCAAAGGGCATGGAATTGAATCGGAAAAGAATGGATACCTATCGACCACTGTAACATTCCATCGAGGGAAGAAAAACCTCCGTCGAAGTCGTCTTTTTGATTGAAGACCTCGATGGAATCCTCCACTTCCGCCTTCCTCACCAGATCTCCCTCCTCTTTTGCTGTAGACCAAAACAGCCTTCCGGAAGCCGACTTGTTTCCACCTTCTGCCTTCGTCATCCCTCCCCCTATTATTGTCATGCCCGCCCACGCCAATAATACTGTCCAAATTGCCTCACTACTCAGACTCCGACTGCGACTCCCCATCCCCAGAAACAAAACAACCCACTACTTCTCAGAGTCAATCGAATTTGATGCAACCACCACCCTAGCCTAGGTTTACAGCTGCTGATTTTCTTTTTTTTTTTTTTTTTTTTTTGGGCCTTTTCAGATAGTTTCTCTCATTTTCTTTCTTTTGTCCGAGGGGCGAATAGACGAGGGATCTTTTTAGTTCAGTTATTAAAAATTTATCCAAAAAACAAAAATAAAAATATCACATTATAGGATTGTTTGAGATAAATTAAATAAGCACACTTTTTTATTTTTTATGAAATATGGATTAACTATGAGTTGTGTTTGAAGTGAAGTAATAAAAATGTGATATGATTTAAATAAGATGATGTGACTTAAATAGAATAGTAACTTTTTAACTGTTTAACTTTTTTAGATTATGTCACACTAAACTTATATATATTAATTAATTTTTTTTTCATCACAGTTATTTATAATAAAAAAAAACATTCTAGACATTCTAATCCTTTTTACTTAATAAAAAAAATTAAAAAATTACTAAAAAAGTCAAATTTCGAAATTAACACAAAATATATGGTATATCTTTATGAAAGTGTATCTTTTATAATGTGTCATATTATGTGATATGTATGAATACAATTTTTTTATGCAATTGATTCTATGTTTGTAGTCTTGTTGTCTATCCAATTTTTATTTTTATATTTTTTTTTTTTAACTATGATAGTCAACTCACTTTTTTTTTAAGTTAATTTATAATTTCACCTTTTTGTCCATTTAACAATAAAAGTGTTAATAAAACGAGAGACCAAAATATTTTAAAATTTATGATGGTCAACTCACTATATTTTAAAATTTAAAAAGAGAGACGCCAAAATAAAATTTTAATAAAAATATAAAAGTGTTAATAAAATGAAAAAGTATCATATATTTTGTACATGACAAATTTGTCAAATGGATAAAATGGTTTTTTTTTTTTTAATTATGATAGTCAACTCACTTTTTTTTTAAGTTAATTTATAATTTCACCTTTTTGTCCATTTAACATTAAAAGTGTTAATAAAACGAGAGACCAAAATATTTTAAAATTTATGATGGTCAACTCACTATATTTTATGATAGTCAACTCACTATATTTTAAAATTTAAAAAGAGAGACACCAAAATAAAATTTTAATAAAAATATAAAAGTGTTAATAAAATGAAAAAGTATCATATATTTTGTACATGACAAATTTGTCAAATGGATAAAATGGTAATATTGTAACTTAATTTAAAATATAAAGAGTTATAACAATTCAAAGCAAAAAGACTAAAGTAAAATTTTGGTAAGAATGCATAAATGGTAAGTGTAATTACTTGTAACCTCTCTTACTTTTTTATATATTTTTTCAAAAAAAAAATCAAAAACAAAATCAAAAAATTAGGTTGTGTTGGTAGAGTTTTAGAACTATGATTTGAGAATAGAGTTGCATTTTGAGTTTGTGACTTTTGGAATTATGATTTGAAAAAAGAACTTGTTTGGTTATGAGTTTTGAAAAGATTTTTTTGAATTGAGTTTTGAAAAAATGCCTAATCATATGCCTAGTGCATTGGAATTGAAAAAAGTGAATCACACTAGGCATTTTAACTAACAAGTATTATATGCCTAGTGCATTGGAGATGCTCTAACAATTCAAAGCAAAAAGACTAAAGTAAAATTTTGGTAAGAATGCATAAATGGTAAGTGTAATTACTTCCTTTTAGTTTCAATAATGCTACAAATAACATATTTAAATGAGTAAGTATTGAATACAACACAGGGTTTGTCACATTCTTATTTTGACCTATTTTTGGAAACTTAGCTAAAAGTTTTTTTAGGCTTGTAACCTCTCTTACTTTTTTATATATTTTTTCAAAAAAAAAAATCAAAAACAAAATCAAAAAATTAGGTTGTGTTGGTAGAGTTTTAGAACTATGATTTAAGAATAGAGTTGCATTTTGAATTTGTGACTTTTGAAATTATGATTTGAAAAAAGAACTTGTTTGGTTATGAGTTTTGAAAAGATTTTTTTGAATTGAGTTTTGAATTTTTGATGTGATTTATGAAATGAGAAAATTTGTTTGATTATGAGTTTTGAAAATTTGAAAAGAGTTTTCAAAACTTAATTCAAAAAGTTATAACTTATAACCAAACACACAACTCAAAACACTATTGAAATCCTGTTCAAAACTCATAACTAATCTCTTTTTAAAATTCAAGTCAAAAAAATAATTATGAAAAAAATAACATTAAAAAATTTTTAATTGAAAATATTACAAACAAAATAATTTTTTTTTCAAAATAAATATTCAATTACTGCTTTAAAATAACTTTTGATTATATATTTAGTTGAAATTATTATGTTTAAATATTTTTGACGTGAAATATTTTTATATTTTTAATAATTACTGTCACAAATCATTTGCTATTTATTGTTAAGCATTGTTTTCAAATAAATGGCCAAAGAATTTGTCATCAGTACATGGGGAATCCAAAAATGTTACAATGTACACCAAAAACACAGTGAAATAGAAACGGTTGAACTGAGCCGAAATTACACCGCCGGTTGTCCCCCCGGACGTCCGGCCGAACAACCGCCCCTGTGTGTTGTGGCTCTGCCAACTACTGTTGTCTATTCTGTTCTTCCATGCCTATTTGAAGCTTCAATTTTGCTAAAAATAATCTTAACAAATTCATGTTTAGATTAGTGTAATTTATGAGTTTTGAATTAATTATCAACTCACAAAATAAATCAAACAAAAGATTAGATGATAATTTTGTTAGCATATATGCACTTTACCACACTTAATTCAATATTACAACAAAAACAAAAACAAAAAAAACAAAAAACCCACAACATGACAAGTACAACAACGACTTTCAATTGTCATGGACTTCATGTTACTACTAGCAAAATGAAAGACACATAAAATAGGAAAAAAGAACCAAAAAAAAGTTGAAAAAAAAAAACAAGTTTCCCATATTACCCAAATATAAAAAAAATTACAATCCGTAGTGTCAGTATGCCATTAATTATCAACTCACAAAATAAATCAAACAAAAGATTAGATGATAATTTTGTTAGCATATATGCACTTTACCACACTTAATTCAATATTACAAAAAAAGACAAAAAGCCCACAACATGACGAATACAACAACTACTTTCAATTGTCATGGACTTCATGTTACCACTAACAAAATAAAAGACACATAAAACAAGAAAAAAGAGCCAAAAAAAGTTATAAAAAAATTTAAAAAAAAAACAAAAAAACAAGTTTCCCATATTACCCAGATATAAAAAAAATTTATAGTCTGTAGTGCCAGTGTTGTAAGCATTATTTTCAGAACATAAAATTTAAGCTTTGGATCATCTACCATGTGAATCATCAAGAAATCAAGACAAAAACTTACCCGAATCCATCGATGAACGGTTAAACAGAAGCGTGATTATCAATAAACCCTTTGTTATTGATTTTGTTATTGTCTTCTAATCCTTTCCTTTACCAGTGCCTTGTCAATTCTCCTTGAGAGGAAATAGAAGAAGAATGGCAGTTCTTCACCATTGGCAGGATTAGGAACCATAACAATATAAGGTTGAAATAGGTTTTTCAACAACACAACCGCGTGGCAGTTTTTTTTATGAAAACCAACTTAACCAATATGTTTTAATTTCTATTTCTGCCCCTCATAGAAATAGAAATTACTTAACTAGTATCTACACATTAGGTCCATGACACATATACTCTTAAGCCTATTAACTAAATTGAATCACTTAAATTGCAGGCTTCTTATAAATGATAACACCACATTTAAATATGTGGTCCCATTGAGACATTATCTAACAATCTCCCACTGGACCACATATGTAACCTGAAAAATATGCTTAACTTTAGTGAGCTCTGAAATTTGTTATCATGACCTGAGGGTATCCAAACAATCTTGTCCATTAACTATATTGATATAGGATCAAAGCGGTCTTCGTTACATTAATCGTAACTCGACCCACCAATGGTCACGTATACCAATACAGCTAAATAACATAAATCAATCATGAATGCGTAGCATGGAAATTACATGTAATATGATCCATACATGCCTATTTCCAACTGGTCCTACTTAACTTTATTGAGATCAATACTTCACAATACGTAACAGAGCGTAAAAACTGAATACTTCATTTCTGCAGAAATTAATCTAATTACATAGATAAAGCTCAAGGCTGACATAAAGCAGTAATATAAATACAAACTCCCACTAAACCAGAATGTTCTCAAATAGAACAACACCCATATGAGCAGTGTGCTCATGAAAGACCTTGGGTGGTAGTCCCTTCGTAAGTGGATCCGCTATTTTGTCCCAATGTGCTCTATGGAAATCTGTCCACTCTGCACTCTTTCTTTTACAACTAGGAACTTGATATCAATATGCTTTGATTTTGTCGAGCTCCTGTTGTTATTGGAATATAAAACTGCAGACTTATTGTCACAATATATCTTAAGTGGTCTTTCAGTGCCTTCCAAAATACGCAACCCAGTGACAAAATTCCGCAGCCATATCCCTTGTTTTGATGCCTCATAACATGCTACAAATTCTGCAGCCATGGTGGATGAAGCTATGAGCGTCTGCTTTGCAGACCTCCAAGAAATTGCTCCGCCAGCTAACAGATAAATATAGTCTGATGTGGATTTCCTACTGTCTTGGCATCCAGCAAAATCGGAGTCGGAATATCCAATGACCTCTAACTTATCCGATCTCCTATATGTGAGCATATATTCCTTTGTTCTCTGTAAATATCGCATAACATGCTTGACTGCTTTCCAATGATCCATGCCATCTTCTGCATTTCTTGAATTTCAAGACTGTTCTTCGGGCATTGGCTGAGACTAAACTTGTCTCCCTTAGCAACCGGGGTTTCACCTGATTTACAATTTTGCATGCCAAATCTAATGAGTATTTTTTCGATATAGCTCCTTTGTGATAATCCCAGAATACCCCGAGAACGATCTCGGTGTATTTCGATTCCTAATACAAAGGAAGCATCACCAAGATCTTTCATTTCAAAATTCTTAGATAGAAATCTCTTGGTGTCATGCAATAAGTTTATATCGTTTGTGGCAAGCAATATGTCGTCAACATATAAAACCA